TGTCCCCTTCCCCCCCCCCCCTTTTTTTTTGTTTGGTTGTCGAGAAAGTCGGGGAAAATCGTAATTCGATTCTCTAGGCTTTTCGCCTTTGTTTCTTGGATTTAGTTTTGATCTAAGGTGATACATTTAGGTTGACGGAAAATGTATATAGATATGTGAAATTTGAATTCGCTTGAGTTCCATGCCTCCTTTCGCTGCTTGATTTCACAGAATTCATGCGAAACTCTTGGTTGGTGTATGCTTGATTCTTGTTGTGAGTTACTTTACTACGCACTTTCAGTGGTTGGAACTTGGACTGGATGCCTTTAGAAATTTGTTTTCGGTAGAAAACGAATGGATGATCCAATAGTGTATATTCATGATATTTTCGATGGGCCTTGATTGCATTTCCAATGGCTGCGCATACATTTTTATGTAATTTGGAGGTGTTTTTCTTTCCTATTATGTTCTAGTTATGAAAATTATTTCTTTAAGGTAGTCAAGTCAATTATGGAAGTTTCAGCAAGAAAATCAGGCAGAAGCTCGTTGAAGCTGGACTTAAGAGATGGGAGATTGGAGAAATCACATCCCGAATTCGGCAGCTTTATTATGGGCACTATATGAGAACGAGTGATGCGAGTTACTTATCCGAGTCATACATATTCTACGGAGCAATATTAACTAGGGAGTACTTCAGGGAGGGGTTGTTTCAGGATCTCAATATTCTCTTTTTTGCTAGGTTTCTGATGGTGTGTTTGGTCCTTGGTCGGCGAGCGACGGTGCACCAACTGGTTGATCAGTTTAAAGGGTTGATGGATGATTGCAATGCAGACGGACATTCCAGGTTTATTCTAGATACCTATCTTCTGACAATTGAACATCCCATACTGTTTTGAATTATCCTCTATTTTCATGCCTGTATTCCTGTGGTTCTCTGTAATTTCCATGTTTATGTTCCTAGTGAAGGAAAACTTTCCCCGTGGCTGTTGCCTGAGGGGTTGAATATCTAAATAATCTTAGGTTCATGGTATAGGCACTATTTCATACTGTTTTCGAGGTTTGATGACCTAAGATTTCAGTCTGTTAGTGAGTCTTGATGACTTCCTTTCTGCGTGTCTTTTAGATGACTCCTTTTTTTTCAGGGCCTCTTTCATTTTACTCGCTCCATCTCTTAAACTGCGTTTCTTGTTCTTCAGGAAACTGACTTTAAAGAATGGGAGTTGGCGGTGCAAGAAATAGCTAGACTCTTGAAAGCCGGCACAGCTGTCATGAACCCTAAACCAGGATTTTCTTCACCATACTAGCAGTGCCACTCGCAAGCAGGTCATTTGAGGTTGACCGATGCGATATTGAGCAGCTACCGTTATAATGAGGTTAGGTATAAGATTTTTCCTTGTCCTTGTCTAGCACAAGTACAAATATTAAATTACTACATCTTCTAGGTTCGATATATCTGCTGTGTGTGTTTCCCATCAGGCCAAGTACTCAGAGCTAACCCTTGATCCCTTCAGGATGCTTCAACGGTTAGAGTGGGAACCTAGTGGCTCGTTTTTATCAGGCAACTGGTATCTCGTGTTGAGCTGTGGATGGGTCTGGAGATCTCCACAAACGGCTCGTCAACATTTTGTATACGAAATGGAAATCTACGTATGAGTGTGAAGTGTGGTGCAGGGGCATATCCCATATTTGTATGACTCTGAATCCCGCAATGGTAGCTTTTAGAGAGAACCTGACGAAACATGTGATGTAGTGTTTTCATCAGATTCTGGTATACCCAAAGACAGAAACATCGTCTTGTTAATTGGACGCATATCAATTTTCGGATACCAACTCATAGATGATCGGATCTGATGTCTAAATTTATTTGCCCAACTGGGATCCAACATCCTCGTATGATCCTGGTTTCAGGTCACGCTGTAGAGCAACAGGAAAACGTGGGTGTACAATTTAATCGGAGGGGATGAGGCTCTCATAAAACGCGATGGACCCACACCACGATTCTCAAGCCTTTACGAAATTAGCGTCGGCCGGCCTTAACCTTTATGAATTTATTCATCTACACCCAAGCCTACCCCATCCCACATTTAATTCCTCTCATGTATTATCTTCACAACCCTCTGCTCCATGAAAAGTCTGATTCCTTTAATACCCAATCAAAGTTGCTTGAATTTTGCACTCGCATGGGTTTTGTGTTTTTTTTTTTTTGAAAATCGAATTTTAAGTTTATTAGTTATGTCGTGTCTTTTAAATGTTCCATCAACTCACCGATATTTTATACGAGGGATTGGATCTTAGGAGTCAATTTGGTAGCGAATCATCGAGGTTTAAGGCTGTGGAGTTATCAAGACCACAGTAGCGTCATGGGAAACAAAAATATCGCGAGAGCAGAGCATTTATTGTTGTGTCTGTGTGTGGTTATAGTTTAATATGAGAGCAAGCCAGTGTCCTTTACGTGGAAAATACGGATACTATGATCCGATATTAAATCTTATTTATAAATCGGTTAAAAACCAATCTTGCGTATGGGTGTATCTGTATATAATTCCGTTCGAAGAATATGTATCAGACTATATATATTGGGAGAGACCGAAAACCATGCTGTAATCTAGTGAACACACACATATATGCATACATGGGATTAAATGCTTCAAATAAATTAAACGTAATCGGCTTTTCTTTTGGGCATTTAAAAATCTCATCAAACAATATATATCACATTAAATGTTTAAAGGTGGTGCCATGACATTAAATGTTTTGTCTTATTTTAAGAATAGGGATCCAAAAAGATCATGAACTCAACTCCTATCAGCTACCATAAAAACATCTTCTGAATAAAAAGACACGATATTTTTGTGTGTGTGTTTATTTCCCATCATTTGAAAAAATCAAAGCAAAGCTCACGAGAACAAACCCTCCCCTGAATGAATCTTCACAATATCACAAAAATCACACGTAAAATCTTTGTCCTTCCATCTTGGTTCTCTCCTCTTCTTCGTCTTTCACATGGATGTTATTATAAACCACACAAACCCTAATCATAACAAAGACGACGATGAAAAAGAAGACGAAACCCTGATTCCGGGTCTTCCCGACGAGCTCGCTACACTTTGCCTCGCGAAATCCGCTATCCCGCCCACCGTCCTCTTCTCCGTCTGCCGCGCATGGCGGCGTGTGCTCTACTCTCCGGCCTACCCCGCACACTTCTCCCTCTACGCCCTCCTCTCCCCAACTAATCACCAAAATGCCACCGCCGGGAACATCGGCGTCGAGTTCTTCACCTACGACCCGATATACGCCACGTGGCACTCCCTTCCTCCCCCTCCGCCGTCGGATCCTCCGGTCACTTTCCTACGCCGTCACCCTTCTTTCTTGTCACGTAGCTTTCCCATTCAGTCCGTCACTGTTTCCCAACGCCTTGTTATCGTCGCCGCCACCACGCACGGTTTTGCTCCAGCCCTCGAGAGGCCGTTGGTCTTTGACCCGCGGTCGAACCGGTGGTTCAACGGGCCGCCGCTGGCGATGTAGCAGCGGTGGTGTGCAGCAGGGTCGGTCTACGTAGTGAGTGGGATCGGGGCTCACTATCGAGCTGACATGACGAGGTCGATGAAAGAGGGAAAGTTTGCCGGCGGTGATGATCAACGGAGGTGGAGATGGAATAAGAAGAAGACTGGTTTTAACTGTTCAAACATGGAGGCTATTGAGTATGTAATATGTATATCCTATACGTAAAATGAAATAATTAACCATCAATCTTAATATATATGCCAACTTTTTCCAACCAAATCACGTTTAAAATTTACCAATATTCTTTTTTGAAAAAAATATTTTAAGTGCGATATTGATTTATGAATATACAAACCTATCAATAGAGAGATACATAATCTACAAAGAGAGACAAGTATCGATTATAATCATCTAGCTATATATATTTAGTTCATGAATTAATACGCAAGGGTAAGTACAAAGGGAAATTGTGCATGGTGAACGTAAAAACAAGGAATCGTCTACAACCTGGATTTCGTCCGGTGGGAGGACATGCACGTGGCATGATCTCCGGTTGGAAAGGATCGGCCACGAGCGGGATAGATGACAAGGATGTTGTATGTCGTGACGGGAATTGCGACCACTGTGCGATTATCTTAAGATTTAATTACGACTTTTAAAAATTTGTTAAGTTAAACTTTGACAATATTTTGTCGATGGATGAAAATATCTTCGAATTAATAAAAAAATATGATATACAAAGCATTTTGTTTCAAAATTATAATACTCTAAATTATTGTTCAAAAAACAAGTACCTAAACACAAACTTAACAAAATGTGATAAATATTTAATACCATATTTGTGACAAAAGCGAGGGAGGAGTGGAAGTTCGCCGGCGGCGATGATCGGCGGAGGTGGAGGTGGGAGAAGAAGACTGGTTTTAGGGACGGAAGGTTTAGCAGAGAAGCCGTGGAGGCGATCGGGTACGTAAATATATCATATATGTATCACATGCAATATCCTATACGTAAAATGAAATAACTAACAAACAATCTTGAATTAAAATATATGTCAATTTCTCCAACCAAATCATATTTATAAAAAAAATTATGATGTTGATTTATGAACTTATACATAATCTATATTCATCTTTACCAAAAAAACTTATACATAATCTATAATCTATAAAGAGAGACAAATATCGATTATACAAATCGTCTAGCTATATATTCAGTTCATGAATTAATAATTCTTTTAATTGTTTTTTTTTAAATTTAGATGTGATATATTTTTGTATTACAAGAAAGAAACAATAAAGATGTATTTTTTGCCTTTTTTTATTATATAAAAATAGGTGAAAGTGAAATTTATATAATATATGGTGGGCGAGTGAGCTAATAAAATAAATGTGGATACACAAGGGTAGGTATAAAGGGAAGCTGTGCATGGTGAACGTAAAAGGCAACGCCGTCAAACAAGGAGCCGTCTACGACCTGGATTCCGACCGGTGGGATGATATGCCACGTGGCATGATCTCCGGTTGGAAGGGACCGGCGGCGAGCGAGATGGACGACGAGGATGAGCTGTACGTGGTGGAGGAAGTAAACGGCCAGCTCCGGAAGTACGACGACGACGGTGACCGTTGGGAAGCGGTGGTCGAGGCGCCGGAGTTTCGGAACGCCGAGCAGATCGCCGCCGGGAGAGGAAGGGTCTGCATTGTATGCGGCGGAGGTCGCCGGATAGGGGTGGTCGACGTCACGGCGAGGCCCGCCGGAATCTGGGAGGTTGCTCCGCCGCCAGGGCTGGAAGCCATGGCAGTGCATATACTGCCCAGAATTTGCCGGTGAAAACGATGAAAAAAAAACTTTCTTGAACATTTCGAATCAGAAACTCGATTCAGTTAGCAAATTCAAAGAAAAATCGATCACCAAAGATCTCCACAGCTACAAATTCCGTCTCTGAAAAGATGAAATCGGTTCGAGTCTCGTACCAAAATGTCGCGTCCTACGATCTTCGATATCAACTTAGTTACCTTATGGCAATCTGCACAGACCCGAAGATTCTTCATCACCTGCAATGGCGTCCCTGCTTCTGTGTTCAATAGTCCAAACACTATAGCAAGCCTTTCGCTGTGTCCACATATCAAATTTCTCTTCTTCTCTTCCTCCTCGAGCTTCTGAGACACGTCTCTTAGATCGGGAACGTACCCTTCTTCGGCCATCAGACTGTAGAGAATCTCCAGTGACTTGCCGATTTCTTCAGGTTGAGGAACTGATGAATCTCCTGACCGGAAAACGTGCAATCTTTTACCGATTTCGATCCAGCTATATCCAGTATGCTTCCTCAGGTGTTTATCTTTCACGGATTTTCGGATTATGCTCACCTTTTCCCATTCTCCCATGGCTGCATAAGCGTTGGACGCTAGAACAGAGTAACCGGGATCTTCCGGGTCCAGTTCCATTATCTTTTCAGACGCTCGTTCTGCAGTTTCCATGTCTCTGCTTGCTCGACAAGCGCTAAGTAGAGACGCCCACATGCTAGCATCTGGTTTCATGGGCATTGCTTCCATAAATTCCTCGGCTCTAGAAATCTGATGAGAACGGGACAACAGATCAACCACACAAGCGTAATGTTCCACCTTAGGTGTGATTCTGTAATGGCTTTTCATCCTGTCGAAGCAAGCCAGTCCCTCTTCTACCAAACCTGAGTGGCTGCAAGCATAGATTATGGCTACGAAGGCAACGTTATCGGGAACTATGCCGGATTCTTCCATGTCGGAGAAGGCTTCCATGGCTTTCTCGCCCTCACCGTACATTCCATAGGCATAGATCAACGCTGTCCATGTCACGACGTCTTTTCTGTTCATAAGCTCGAAGACTCGGACAGAATCCTTCAAACCACCACATTTGGAGTACATTTCAATCAGCGAGTTCCCGATTTCCAACTCAGCTTCAAACCCAAACCTTACAAGACAGCAATGGATCTCCTTGCCTTGTCGTTTTGCAGCTAGTGAAGAACACATAGACAACATACCTAAGAAAGTGGCCGTGTCGGGCGACACTGCCCTACTCCTCATCAGAGTAGTTAACTGCAACCCGGTGGCAAAATCTCCGGAACGAACACATGCTGAAATGACAGTGTTCCATGTTACGATATCACGAGTTTCCATTCTGTCAAAGATCTCCATCGCAGTATCGGTTTCACCACATTTAGCATACATATCAATCAATGCATTACTAATTGCAAGATCTGAGTGAAACCCGTATTTCATTGCATCGGCATGTAACCCTCTGCCAAAGTACAAGTATCCTAACCGTGTAGAAACAGAGAGAAGCATCAGATAAGTGATGGGATCGGTCTGCTCTTCCATCCTTTTCATCATCTTAAAGAGTTTCCCAGCTTCCATAAGATCACCACTTTGAATATATCCACTGATTATCGAATTCCATGAGACAGATTCCCTATGTTCCATGTTCTTGAATACATCCCTTGCAGAAACCATGTCACCGCACTTTGCGTACACGTCGATTAGAATATTGTTTGTAGTAGTTTCAAGCACAAATCCAGCTCTCACCATATAGTCATGGACGCATTTTACCAGCCGCAGGTCTCGGAGATGGCCGCAGGCACGGAGAACAGAAGTGACTGTTAAGATATCGGGTTTGAACTGATCCAGAGTTTCCATGAAAAGCTTGACAGATTCTTCAAACATCACTAACTGAAAATACCCGCAGATCATAGTGTTGTAACTGATGGAATCTCGAAAACCCATCTCATCAAAAATCAGTCTTGCATTCTCTGGTCTACTGAATTTCAAGTACATTGCAATTACTCCATTACCAACCATAACAGCGGAGATAGTTCCTGTCTTCTGAGCAAACCCATGAACTGCCTGTCCTCCCCTGACAATCAGCAAATTCCCAAAAGCCGACAAAACACTTGAAACCGTGTAAGAATCCGGCACCATCCCAAAACTCCGCAACCTGTAATAAAGTTCAACAGCTTCTTCGTGATGCCCATTGGAGGTATACCCGGAAATCATACTGTTCCAAGAAACGAGATCCCTAACAGTCATTTCGTCGAACACTTCTCGTGCTCTACCCAGCAATCCCAATCTCGAGTACATGTCGACAAGCGCATTGCCCACATACAGATCAGATCCGAACCCCAGATCGGTGACATCTTTGTGCACGAAACTTCCCATTTCCTCGTCGAGCAATCCGGAGCAGGCTTTGATGACTGACGGAAACGTGTACTTATCAGGAGATACATCAGTTTCCCGAAGCTTTCCGTAAAATTCAATGGCTTTAGAGAACAACCCATTTTGGGAAAACGTTCTGATGACCGAGTTCCAGAGATAGATATTTCTCGCCGGCGAAACTCGCCGGAAAATGGAGAGTGAAGAGCCCGGGTCCCTGAGATGAGAGTAACTGTCAATGAGCTTGCCGGAGAAGAAGTCGGAGCCATCGAGGCCTAAAGAAATCACGAAGGCGTGGATCCGGCGAAGCTCTTTAAGGTTCGCGACGGATGACAAAGCTTTGGAGATGGCAGATGGCGAGATTCTGGTCTGCATTAACGCAGCTATGTCCGAACACTCTTAGTATTAATAAGATTTTTTTTTTTTTTTGTATTTTTGCTGAAGAAAACAAAAAACACACAATACAACAATATCAGACAGTGATTCTAACAAAAGGGTTTCATCAGATCCATGGAAGATTCCTAAAAAGTTAGAGAGTATCATTCAAGAGTTTTGACGCTCGCCTCGCTCACGGGCAATGGAGGTAGAGAGAATGCCGAGGCCCCGCTTCAGAACAGTTAAAGCGGC